GGCTCAGAAACTCTGGCATTTGAAGCACGCAAGTCTTAAAGTTGTCAAATTACAAGACCCTTTCACCCCTAATCCTTTAGTATTAAGTTCGAGGGGATGGCAATGACTGAAGCAAGGCAGGACTCGAATAACAAGGCTTTATTAGAAAAGCTAATGCAACAGCAACTCCAGAACCAGTAAGCTTGAACTGTTCCCACTTGACAGCAATTTATATGCAGGCAGTCCCGCGGTTAGCCAATCAGAGAACGGTGACTTTCCCGCTCTGACCACGCGCGCGCCTCGACCAATGGCAAGTCTTGTAGACAGAGCCATGTCTCTGAGGCTAAGACACAACACCCCTCTCCACCAGTCAGGCGCATGCGTAATCCTGCAAATATGCAGGCCGCCTGCGCATGCGGTCCGATCTTTTTGGCTCGGTTGGAACTGACACTGGAGAAGGAAAAGGAGGAGGCTTCTTCAGGGGAACTGCCTGTGACTGCGCTAACTCTCCACCCGGCGACTTTGTATGTGCTCTGATGGCCCAGGTGAGTCTGGCACCGGAACACAAAACCGCCGTGTTGGGCAACGCGGCATTTCAGTGGAGGTGTCCAGAGCAAACGGGGGATCTATAGGACCAACTGGGAAGAGATCAGCTGGCGTCTGCGTCAAGGCCATCCGCGGTTGCAGCTGATCAATGTGGAGGCACCAAATGCGCCCATCGCCTAGGCCAACCCTGTAAGTGCAGGGATCCATTAATTGCAGAATGTGCTCCAGTAACCACCTCAGCTCACCTCCATAGTTCCATGCAAAACCAGATCCCACATTTCAAAACCCCTGGCGTGGTCATCATTGTCATAGGTTTGTCCTTACAGTAGCTGGGGTACAGTCGATCAAGGTTAATCTGGAGGCGGCGGCCCATTAACAACTCTGCAGGGCTGCAGTTAGTTAAGGGGCATGGGACTGTATGCTGTACTAATAGGTGTCTGTCAATACAGGTATGCAAATCCCCTGGACCTAGCCTAGCTAAGGACTCCTTAACAGATCACACTGTCTACTGCTGGAGGGATGGTAAGGGGCCACCAAGATGTGGTGGATGCCTTGTCCCGCTAAGAACATCTGGAAAAAGGCAGACGTTAACTGGGCCCCGTTATCTGATACCCCTGGCACCCATGAGTCGCAAACATCTTTTGCAACTCTCTAATCAGAGCCCCAGTAGTGGTCGATGGCATTAGGATGACTTCCACCCACTTTGAATATGCATCGACCACTACCAGGAACATCTGCCTGTAGAATGGCCTGAAAATCCAAATGAATCCTAGCCCAGGGAGTCTTGGGGTCCTCTCACTTCCTAGGTTTTGCTGCAGGGGGAGCTGGCCTGGACTGCTGACATTCCTGACACCTAGTCACCCATTGTGCAATATTCTGATCCAAACAAGGCCATCACACGTAGCTCTGGCCCAGGGCCTTCATCTTTACTATCCAGGATGCCCCTTATGCAGACAGTGGTGGAAAGGGAAGTTGAGGAGGAACGACCACCCTATGGCCCCACAGTAGGCACTCTTCTTGTACCGACAGTTCATGCTGCCTTTGCTTGAAGGACAGGAACTGTGAGGTAAGCTGCATCTGCGGCCAACCCCTCCTTACCCAATGTAAAACCTGAGCCAAAGTAACATCCCTAGCCAAATGGGTGGCAACATCTGTGGCTGCTGAGGGAATCAGGAGGTCCTCAATCAGTAAAACCAGTGGGTCAGGTGGTGTGCAGAAGACCGGCAAGCCAGCGATACTTCCTCTGTAAGTAGCTGTCTTTATTGCTGGGTGTGGAGTGGTCTGTGCTGTGTTCCTCCTTGAGATAGTAAAGTGCAAGCAATTAAAGTGTTGCTTTCTGTGTCTCTCCTTTGTGCAATCCATTCATTGGAGTCCGTGATACTGAAGACTGGCAAGAACAGTCATCTTCCATCTGTAAGTAGCTCTTTTATTGTTTTTGTACTTATTTTAATCTTATTGTAGTTCATCCATTGGGGCAAAGAATTCAGTGATATCATCTTGTCCACTCCCACCAGGTCACATGGGCAGCAACCCACTCCCATCCGGTCACATGGGCAGTAAGCCACTCCCATCCAGTCACATGGGTGGCAAGCCATTCCCACAAAGGAGGCTACACCCACAGAGTAGGTTCCAACAATTTTTGAAATCCACCACTGAACCGTGCCATGAGTTCAGTGCTGTTTCTGGTGGAAATAAGCACACCATTGAAGTACGGGGCAACTCCCGGCATGCTGTGGAGCAGTCGTTCCATGAGGCTCTGGAAAATGCCCGGGGCTACACTGACACGAAACTGGAGCTGCCAGCATTTAAAAGCTCCCTCGTGGGTGACAATGGTCTGCGCTTCTGCAACAGCAGCATCCACAGGGAGCTGCTGATACGCCTGGGTAAGATCCTGTTTGGCGAAAATGGAGCCCTGTTCCAACATATGAAACAGTTCTTGTACTACAGAGACAGGGAGGGGTTGGATTGGAGACCCCTGTTTATAGTGCATTTAAAATCCCCACACAATCTAATGGAGCCATCGGATTTCAAAGGGCTCACGATGTGGGTCTCTCATTTGGAATAATCCACGGGCCCTAAAACCCCTTGGGAAATCAACTTATCCAGTTCAGCGTCCACTTTTGGACGCAGGGCCAAGGGGACCCTCCTGGGCTTGAGACAGATGGGAGTGATCTGAGGGTCCAAATTAAAACTAATGGGAGTTATAATTACCTAACGACCCATCAAAAACTGCAGCAAACTCCTTAATCAGCCCTTCAAACTGATCAAGGCCTGCCGTTGCATGCACCCCAGCGACGCTGAGGCCCAGGGCATCAAACCAGTCTAAGCCCAGTAGACTGGGGAGGTTACCCTGGATGACAATGAGGGGAAGCCTGCCCTTAAAACTTGGAGTGACCACTTGGAACCGGTCACTGCCAACTATTGGAATATAGTTCCCCTGATAGTCTCGCAACTTAATAAAACAAGGTGACAGGCACTTCTTGGCTAGGAAAGGCACCAAACACTTGATAGTGGACCAATACAATAGACTTTGACGAGTCAGTGTTCACCTCCATGCGGCAGGGCTTGCCCTCGAGCTGGACGCTGAGGTAAATCTTATTCCACAATGTTGCGTTGGTCTGGCTGGTCAGCGGAATGGCCTGTCACAGTTTGCAGAGGATTGCAAAACGGTCCTCTGAGGTATGGTAAGACCGTGACTTTGGCTTGTGGTAAGATGAACAGTCAGCTGGTTGACCTTGAGAAGGAGATGGTGTGCGGTACACCTTGCCAAATGTCCTTTTTCCCCTCCCACTTGTGGCAAATAGCTGATTTGAAATGACACCAGGCACGGACATGGTTCCCACTACAACCAGCACAATGGCTCTGAAGTAAATTCTTTCGTGAGCGCACTACTCAAAACCTGCTGTTTTGAGGCAGTCAACGCCAGCCTCATCGGTGTCGGACAAAGAATGTTTGTCCACCTCCCTGTGATGAATAGGCATAGTTTTGGTAGAGGAGAACGCAGGAGGGGCCACGGCTTGACCCTTTTTAATCTCAGCGGAGGACTCGTTAGACATCTCAGAGGCATGAGCTTCATTTAATGCTGCTTGCAGGCTGAGCTCAGAACGGGCCAACAAACAGCGATTCAGCCTTGAATCAGTCACCCCGCACATGAATTGCTGAAGTAGGGAGTCATCTAGATTAGGAAAATCGCAGTGCAATGCCGCAGCCCTGAGGGCAGCCACGGACTGGTTCACTGACTCCCCCTCCTTCTGAAGCCTTTGTTAGAATGCATAGCACCTGAAAGGGACTGGACTGGTTATGGGGTGGCGAAAGCCCTGGCTGTTCCAAACATCTCATGCCCACAAGCATTCAGGAATTGGACTCTCTTTCTCTCACTAGGCAAGTTCCAAGATGGTTTGCCTCGAGGAAGCATTCGAAACGGTCAATGTATGCCTCCCAGTACTCTAACCCTGGCGCAAACGGTGCAAAATTGTTTAAAGTGGCCATTCTGAAGGAGACACGTTCTGAGGAGATTGCCTCTGTGATTAGCCGGAAGCCTTGCATTAATAAAAAAACTTTCTTACGTGAGACAGCTCTCCTATGTTTCAGAGCATCCCACCCTCATTGCCAATATAAAGTTCGAGTGGGTGGCAATGACTGAGGCAAGGCAGGACTCAGATAACAAGGCTTTATTAGAACAGCTAATACAACAGCAATTCCAGAACCAGTAAGCTTGAACAGTTCCCACTTGACAGCAATTTATATGCAGGCAGTCCCACAGTTAGCCAATCAGAGAACGGTGACTTTCCTGCTCTGGCCACGCACGCGCCCGCGACCAATGACAAGCCTCAGAGACAGAGCGACGTCTCCGAGGCTAAGACATAACATTTAGAAAAAAAAAACCAGGGGTGTTCAAACTGGAGAGCTTTAAGACTTGTGGACTTCAACTCCCAGAATTCCTCCTTTTGCTCTTCATCTGGAGGATGTGTGGATGGGTGGGGGGAGGGAACTCAAACCGGTTCTAAATGGCACTGTAGATTTGTGGAACCTCTTCTATAGAAGAGGTTAGAACTGGCAGGAACCCACCCTTGTTGTGTTTGCAGACAAGGAAAAGAACCACATAGGTTAAATGGCAGCCATTTTGATTCTGTGCCAAAAAGCAGCCAATGGAAAAATCTTCAAACAACAATAGCAGTAACATGAATTTAAGCTTACATTTTTGGCAATATAAATGCCTTTCAAGGTAACAGAAGAAACATGGTTATTTTTTTGTTTGTTTCTGTTTCTTACCATGTAATTTTTCAAGAGGTCCTTGGATTTAATTTGTTGTTTGAACTGTTGTAGTAATCTTTTAAACTCTGGGCATTTATAAATAGGATATATTAATAACTACAACAAAAATGAAAAAAAATCATGATTAAATAGAATAGCCTCTTCATATAATCATCTTCATGTTCATAGTCCATCTAGCTAACCTAACTGCAATTTGTATTATTAGTAAAGGAACAAGATCTCCTTTTCACATTATATATTATGTGGAGTTGTAAAGGTGTCTGCATCGTGTGTAATTCATGCTGTTTCAGAGTTCTGCTAGAAGATACATTCTGGCTCTTGGCATTAAAATAACAATAATAATCCATTTTTAAAAAAAAAAAGTCAACTATTTTACTCCCATTTATAGAGTAGAATGTTTTAGAATTTACCTCCTCTTGGCAAAACTTTTGCCATCAACTCTTAGCTAAAGTATTTGAATTCATGTTATTTTGGAGGTTAGTTTTAATATCTGTTTTCAAGGCAGCTACATATTTACATGAATAAAATGAACTCACATGTTTTGTTAACTGAGAAATGCTTATGCTATATGTTCAAGCATGGTCAGTACCCTATTTATTGGCAGTCAGCTGGATTTCTTATGATCTTTTTATTTTAGACTTAATAGTTAAGTTTAAAAGTAATTCTGTTGCCTTAAATTTTTGATCAAAATATTATTGCCTGCTACAAGTGTGTGCATATGTGAGTCTGACTGCATGCATATACTGTCACATATCACATATAAATGATATATGAACATAATGAATTGCTAGCTGGCAGACTTCAGCTTACCTTGGCAAAAACCAATTCTGAAGTCATTGAACTTCAGTGGATTTTTATTGATGTGTTTATTATGTAAATGTATTTGGCTGCCAATTTTGCAATCAAGTCTGGATGGTGAATGAGATAAAATTATGTATAAAAGCAAATATTTTTTTAAAAATGATAAAAACTATAGAAATACCAGATTAAAAACTCTTTAATAAATGCAGACTAAACACAAACTGAGCTCTATTAACATCCCAAAGCCAGAATAGGACAACTCAATGCAGCTAACTCACCACATGGCTTGCCATGGCTGTCTTGTCATGTCTGATTTATCATGGCTGTCTCATCATGGCCAACTCATCATAGAACAACTCACTAAGGGACAAATAAATAACTCAAGAGAAGGACAAGTGAATTGCATTCAGCTTCAAGGACTTCTAAATTGAGGAGGCTCAAACTTAAAGCAAGACAAGGCCCCTGCAATTCACTTCTCCCTCTTTAGTTATCCCACATTGAGTTGTCTCATGACAAATTGTCTTGTGGCAAATTGGCTGTAGTGAGTTGTCCCATGGCAAGTGGGCTGTGGCAAGATGGGTGGGGTGAATCAGGTGAATTGCACTCCAAATCCTTAGGAAAAAAACAAGGTTTTAAAACCTTTCAAAAGCTCAACAGAATTGAGGTAGTACAAATCTCCAGAGGAAGCTGTTCCATGGGCAATTCCATAATTGCCTCCTCTGGTAAGAGACAAAGCTACCTTTCCTTCCAGCATTCTAATTTTCTCTATATAGGAATATTCAAGGATCTGTACCTTTCTCTGAAATGGCACCAACTCACATGTTCAGCTATTCATATACTAGTCTGCATCACAGGGTACAAGGTACTATTAAAAGTCTCTCAGAGAGTTAAAATATAACATGCTTCCTTGCCTTTTCCTCTGAAAGGGGCACAGTATGAACTGGAATAGGTTGCCAATGAATGTCTGGGTTCCACTCTTCTTCCTTTAAAGGAGGAAAGAGACCAGCCAGGACTCCTTCAGCACTCATTAAGGTTCGATCATAATCTGTACTTCGAACATAAATCTAGAAAAAAAAATAAAGAGTTGACTAGCCTGATCTTTGTAGCTTCCACATCATGTAAACCCTGCTTTTTAAAATTATATTATGCATTTGCTTATCTCCTTGTTTAATATGATTTATGGCCTGTCATCATATGTGGACATGTACATTGCTAGTGTGAATAATGTGAATTCCAGTTAAAAGACTGTGATAAATTTTGAATGAAAAATGTTTGTCTTTAAATATCATCAGTATGATATGGCAGTGTCTTATATGTGTATCCAGTCAGGGATCTCAATTCTGTCTAAATTTATATTGTTTTACATGGTTGATAACTTCAAATGAAAGCTCATAGATCTGATTCCCATACATTCTTTGTTACAAGCAATGAAAAAAACAAGGATTTGGAAGAGTGATAAAAATACAGGTGAGACTCAAAAAATTAGAATATCATGCAAAAGTTCATTTATTTCAGTAATGCAACTTAAAAGGTGAAACT